ATTTGTGATGTTGGGGAGCTCACAGAGCACTCGCACAGAGGGTTTTGAATGAAGCAAAAGCTTTTATTTACCTCTTGCAGGGCAGCCAAAACGTTAAACACAAAATAAATGTGTCTCACCGACTTGTTGGAAAAAAGTCCCGCACCTGGGGAATCCCTTCCCAGGAATATAAGTCCTGTCAGCACAGCAATACAGCAGGTCTCTCTCACAGCTGATCACTTCCTCCTCAACTCCCACACTCCTCTCTGGGAGTTGAAGACCTTTAAACTCCTTTCTGGGGCAGGAAGGTTAACCCTGCGTAGGCCCTTAAAGGACCACAACCCAAACAGTGGTAATATATCTCCCATCCAGGACCCAGCCTTGCTGTCCTCTACTATAATATAGATAGATATATAATTGTATGGTAATATGTGATCCAAACTAAATTTCTCTACTTAATCATTACAATCAATTAGGTGAAGTATTTAATTAATCTGTATTCTTGGAATAGCTAATGAAATAGCAAATATCTTTGCTGCACCAATGCCTAGCAGTGGAGACTCAGAGCTGAAATATAGTGTTTTCCACAAGGAACTAGAAAATGTTAAACTCGTACATGTACATTCTTTTACATAAATTAAAGAAACTGCGTGGCTTGTCTGAAAATCCTAGCCAGAAGACCCCACAAAAGAAGATGCGGCATACAAACCTCTATGGCAGGCATCATGTGAAATGTTTCCTTAGGTTTGTTAGATTCTCTTTATTTGTTGTCAGTATTCTATAATTCTTATATAGTCCATTTCTTTTTTTCAGGAATTCAACATAATTTCTACAATTATCATTTGAGCAGTCTGAAAAAATATTACTGCTAAGTTTTATTCGTTAGCACATGATGGATCCCAGAGGAGACACCCTATATGAGTACTCAGAGTGTGAGAGAAGCTTTATTTCACAGTCATTTCTTACAGTTCACCAGAAGATTCATAATGAAGAGACATTATTTGATAAGACACATCTTCCTCAAGACCACAGGAATCACACAGGATGGAAGCCATTTAGATGTTCAGAATGTGACAAGTGCTTCACTACTAAGGGAAATCTTACCGAACACCAGAGGATTCACACTGGAGAGAAGCTATTTCAATGTTCAGAATGTGACACGTGCTTCACACGAAAGGATCAACTTGCTATTCACCAGAGGATTCATACGGGAGAGAAACCATTTAAATGCTCAGAATGTGAAAAGTGCTTCACAACTAAGGGAAATCTTAATAAACACCAGAGGATACACACTGGAGAGAATCTATGTCTATGTTCAGAATGTGACAAGTGCTTTGCTACTAAGGGAAATCTTACTCAACACCAGGGGACTCACACTGGAGAGAAGACATTTAGATGTTCAGAATGTGACAAGTGCTTCGCTGCTAAGGGAACCCTTACTTTACACCAGAGGATTCACACCGGAGAGAAACCATTTCAATGTTCAGAATGTGAAAAGTGCTTCAGACAAAAGGAAAAACTTGCTCTTCACCAGAGGACTCATACGGAAGAGAAACCATTTAAATGCTCAGAATGTGAAAAGAGCTTCACAAATAAGCAAAGTCTTACTCTGCACCAGCGGACTCACACAGGAGAGAAACAATTTAAATGCTCAGAATGTGACAAGAGCTTCACACATAAGCTAAAACTTACTGTACACCAGAGGAGTCACACTGGAGAGAAACCATTTCTATGTTCAGAATGTTACAAGTGCTTCACTACTAAGGGAAATCTTACTCAACACCAGAGGATTCACACTGGAGAGAATCTATTTCTATGTTCAGAATGTGACAAGTGCTTCACAGCTAAGGGAAATCTTACTGAACACCAGAGGATTCACACTGGAGGGAAGCCATTTCGATGTTCAGAATGTGACAAGTGCTTCACAACTAAGGGACATCTTACTTTACACCAGAGGATTCACACAGGAGGGAAGCCACATCGATGTTCAGAATGTGACAAGTGCTTCACAACTAAGGGAAATCTTACTATACACCAGAGCATTCACACTGGAGAGAAGCCATTTCAATGTTCAGAATGTGACAAGTGCTTCAGACAAAAGGAAAAACTTACTATTCACCACCATAGGATTCACACTGGAGAGAAGCCATTTCAATGTTCAGAATGTGACAAGTGCTTCTCACAAAAGGAGTATCTTACTCGTCACCAGAGGATCCACACAGGAGATTAACCATATTAATGTTCAGAATGTGGCAAATGTTTAACCATAAAGTTGAATCTTACTTTTCACCAGAGGACTCACACTAGACAGAAACCATTTCCCTGCTTAGATAGTGACAAAAGCTTTACATTAAAAAGAAATCCTATTGGACACCAGAAGATCCACAAAGGAGAAGAGCTGCTTTCATGCTCTGAATGTGAGACTACCTTCATTTAAATGAGAAATCTTATTGGACAGCAGAGCAATTACCGAGGAGAGAAGTCAGATATGTTCTGAAGACCTAAACACAGGTCTAATCTAAAGACAAATTGGGGTTGGTTTACTTAGGAAGTAAAGCTTGTGGACTTTGCAATCTGTATGTTTGCTTAGTTGAGTAAACAAGGTTAACCTCTGTTCACTTTAAATCCCAAATCATGTGCAAGGGAGTTTAAAAACAGATTAGAACTTTAGCTTTAACTTAATTGAATAATAGAACTGATCAGATCTTTTCCTCATTCACTGAAATAAATTGAACAAATGCTTTGCCAGGGGGCAGGGGGGGGGGGCGCTAGTGATCAGCCAAGCTAGATTGCCGCATGTTGATTTGACTCTACAGCACCCGGGCATGCGATCAGCTATTTCAGTACGCTATCCATCAATTCTCATCCACTTTTCTGTTCACTTAACATCTACATGTGAGTGACTTCCTCATGCATAAATGAAAGTCTGCATCCCAGACTCCGTTACAGACTCCCTCCTCTTCACCTGTGGCGCACCTGGCAAAGATGGCATCTTCACCTTCCTCTTCAGGGCATCTCGTCTATTCCCTCTAATTGGCTGATGCAATCAACGGCTCCGCTAACGACAGTCTTCCACCACACTTACCTCCTGAACAACAGGAGGTCTCCTGTCAAGATGCGGCCGTCTTTGAAAACTTAATCTGCTGCTTCAAAGGAAACTTCTGGCCGCTACCGATAAAATGACTTCTTGACGTTGGCAAAACAAATTAATTTGCAGTGTTCCTTAGCATATTGAAGATCTTCAAACCACCGTCACTGCCATGTCCTAAGATTTGTTCCCGGGGTACCCGGGCGAGCAGCTTGAACTTGATCTGGTCCACCGCACTCTTTTTCCTAAACACACCAACGGACCCCCTGAGAGATATAATTCTTAAACCACGTTTTACAAAACCAAAGAGGCGATCCTGCGAGCCATATAGGAGAAGCGGTCTTTACATTTTTTTAGAACAACATTTATCAAATCTTTGTGGATCTGGCTCCCCAAACCCTACAGAGATGGAGTGTTGAAGCCTTATCTGACCACTTTGTTACAATATGGCGTTAAGTGGGGATTTCCATTTGAAGTTGTCTTTAATTATGGAAACTAAGTTCACTCATTCTCTTCCCCTGAAGAAGCTGAATCCCTCTTGAAACAACTACAACTCACTATCTCTGCTACCGCTGCTCCTTCCTCACCTCCACCGCTAACCCCAAAGGAGCGCTTGTTGACTCCTGACATATATTCTGCTCCTCTCAAGCTTTGACAGCCGATCCGTTAGTTAGACTTTTTTGTTTGATTTCCCAAGAACAGTTTTTTCACTTTTTTTCTTCACTTTATTACCATTCTGTTTCATGCTTTGAGCACCATATGATATAGCTGATTATCTTCCATTGCCCTCGATTTTAACCATTTTTGCTACTCTACGTTGCTCATCGGAAAACTTTTTTTGCTCATGTGGCTACCATGTGTGTTTCCCTTTGCTGCATGCCTCTATTGCCATTTTTCTTTCTTGCTTTCTCTCCCCTTCAGTCCCCCTCCCTTTCCTTTTCCCACCCTTTCCTTTTCCCATTTTTTTCTCTCTATTTTCTCCACTTCTATCATTTCTTTCCTTTTTCTCTATCTTTAGCAACTCACCTTGCTTTGCAATCACCAAAGCATGATGAGTGCATCTTTATTTTCTCACTTTCTTTAGTCTGAGAGAGAATTCTTTCTTGGCAATCACCAAGGAGAGAAGTCCTATCCATGTTCTGAAAGTGATTCATTTCAGGTTAAAGAAATATCTGCTTTTATCTGTTGGGCTGTGCTGATGACAAAAACACAAGTTTAGGTTGTGACAACACTGGAGTTGAATTACTAACTGAATAGAGGATGTTGACTTAGTAAAGTGTATGTTCACTTAGCATAGCAAATAAAGTAAAGCTGTGTTCTCTTTAAATTTGTAAAACCTGAATTTTTATTTAAGTTTTACAAACATGGGGTGCCAACTCCACACAGCTCCACAGCAGCTAGAGCATTAGTGAAAAATATGTAAAAGGAGCCAAAGAATAATCCTGCTGGCTGGATGAAAGATTTTGTAGTATTCTTATTAATAATCTACATTTACCTAACACAGTCCTGACCCTTGCAGATAGACACAATAGTGTGTTGCAATCTAATATAATTCCCTTTTAGCTTTTAAAATGCATGTATTATGTATAGAGACTTAAAGTGGTCAGGACTAAAATGTGTGTTTTTGTTAAACTTTTTTCTCTTTGTTAGGTGTAGTTGTATTGAATATTTGTGTTATTTTTAAATGCAGCCAGCAGGTGAAGCTCTTGGTTCCTTTTCATACGTGCTGCCTATTGTTTGTGGCTGTTCAGCTGCTCAAAGTGTAATCAGTGCAGAGACTGCGCCACCTTCCTTCCCTGCGCATCAGTTTCAGACCTAGACAGGATGTTTGAAGGGGAACATCTTCTGCTGTGCTCTCTACTGAAAACCTGTCATTTTCTGGCAAAACGTTTGTCATGGTCCAGCCTGTATTACACATCTATTTTATATTTATAACTTTGTATTAAAAATATATAGTTTTATTTGATGGAACCTAAGTAAACAATATCTTGAATCCATGCATGAACCATGTCTCTGCCTCATTTAAACACATCTTATTTGGCTTTTCATCTTGCAATGGGAATGTGAAAGTATGAAGTACATCTGTGGAATGTGTTCTATTCTAGACTCTGTATAGGTTATATATGTGACAGAGCCAATGGTGTGTCAGCTGGAAATTGTCAGTCATACCAATCATATCAACGTGGTGATATGATTGGTAATGTGATAATAGTATTCTATTGGTTTTCATTTTTCATTCTACGATTCCAGATATTGGTTCTTTGATTGGCTCACCACTTTTCCAAACTATCCACACTGTGATACAAATAAAATTAAAGCACCCCCTGCAATAGGGGTTTCTTTTTTCAGTGAGATATTGTCCAAGATTCCGCCCATGAAGACATACAGATGCTGCAGCTTTTCTCATTACCATACTGAGATTACCTCAGGTGTTCATAGGTGACATTGAAAGCAATTAAAATAGAGAGAAGTTTGAATGTCAGTAAATCGGTGCAGTGTGTTGGTTTACCTGAATCTTACCAGGTTCTTTTTCTCTAATTCACTGGAGTGAGTACTGATATCAGGGATATACAGAAATCAGACCATAAAGTATATTGTCACCTATTTCATTTCTCATACTCGTGCAGGATTTACTTTATAGAGAATGGTCCAATACTTCATGTCTAGATCCTAAAACATTGTGTCGGAATCAGTTAAAAGTAGGGTTGCACAGATACCAAGTACAGTACTCGGTACAAGTACGAGTACATGTACCAATACTTTTGAGCTCCAAGACTAGACTAGAGAAAAATTCAAAAGTTAGGAGGCAGCTGCCCTTTGTAAGGAGCACACAGAGCTCCTGGGATTTGTACATCTCTGTTTTAATGTACGATTTTTGTTTTTATAAATATAAATAAAGGGATGCACAGATACCAGTTTTGCGAGTACGAGTACTGGTACTTGCCGAGTACTTACAAGTACGAGTACTGATACATTTTTGTTTATTGTCATGTGACAGCTTTTCTAAAACAATACAGACTAATGATTTCAGGACAGTGGTGGAGCGCCAGAGCCAGGTCCCAGCTGCAACTGCTGCAACACTGGTAGTTCTCATGAAAATGCCAAGTATCTGCACTGGTACTCGAAAAGTATCTGTGCATCCCTAGTTAAAAGCATAAATTCAGTTGTAGCATTGTATACAGCTCCAAAATAATAAATATAACCCGATATATTATATTCCAATTATTAGAACCCACAATAGAAATTTTTAAAAAGCAAAAAGAAATAAAAGAAAAAGGAAAACTAGCAACAAAACTATATCAAAAGACCTGAATAAATAATTTAAGGAGCCATATAGGGACTACCCATAGAAAAAAAAAAAAAGGAATAGGGTGTGGGGATATCACAGGATACAAAAAAATCATGAATTGCTCTTTGGCTGAAGGTGGGAGAATACATAAACATACACCGGGTCTCACCTCAGACAGAGAATTTTAGCAACTAGAAATCTGAAATAGGCCAGATCAGAATGAGGAGACAATAATTAACATTTTTTTGCTGTTTTTATTAAGCTCGGGACTTTGTGTTTCAATAAACAAAAAGCATAAATATTAATATTTTTGTTGGCTTTCTTTGGCACCAAAGATGAGGGGAAGCAACTTATATGGGCTGGGTAAAATAAATGACATGTAAAACGCACTGTTCAAATTCTGTATCTCTTTCTATAGTGGATGAGCTCAGTGTCTGTATGCTTTAGGTCAGGGATGTCCAAACTGCGGCCCTCCAGCTGTGTTGGAACTACGAATCCCGTCCGAATGAAGCATCTCTCTTAGTGAGTCGTGGCTGTGAGAATCTTGCAAAGCCTCATGGGATTCGTAGTTCCACCACAGCTGGAGGGCCACAGTTTGGACATCCCTGCTTTAGGTGATGATCCTTTTGGAATACTGCTTCTTATTTGGAGGCCCCTCTCTATGCATCCTCAGATACATCCAGTCTGGTATCAACATGGTGGTGGCAGCCCAAATATTAGACCTCAAACAGTATAGGAGCCAGTAGAAGATATCACTTCTTATAATTTAATTAGATTACTTTGTGTGTTAAATAACCTTACCAGACCTTCTATTTTACAGACCTTTACTGGTTATATGCTCATAGTAATGTGATCGCTTCAC